GTTCGTCACCGGTTAAATATGGGACAGCACTCGTACAGCACTCCATGGGCCGAAACGGAAGCTAAGACTTTGTTCCCCACTCTATTTCTGCCTATCAATGCGGATGTAGGTTTATTCCTGCAGCAAGCAACTTTTTTCTGAACTGTAGACACAGGCACCGGTGCCGTACTGTAATTCGGCTTGCCTATGCGCTCAGAAGCGACCCTCAAGTGTAGCTACAGATAAGGATCTTCTTTCCGAAAGAGAAAAGAAATCTAGAGCTCTTGCATGTCACATTACCAACAAAACCCCCCACTGGCTATGAGAAGACTCCACGGAATTGAGGAGAGCCAATTCAGGTCCAGCTGTGCCAGGCGGGGCGGTTGGCCGTCATTTACAGAGAAAATAGGAATTTTGACCAGTGTATTTCTCAGCCAGCAAGTATCTAAAAAAAAAAAAAAAAAAAAGACCCAACATTGAAATAATAATAATAATAATAACAGTGTCAGTCAGGTAGCAATCTCTTATAAACAGTAACCTCATAATTGAATAATTATAACCTACCAAGTGGAGGTTGTCATTCCTACTTCAATGTCACATATAAGTAGTATGCCAAGACTTGGAAAAATGTAGTGGTATTCACAGCACATTCTCTTAAAATCTAGGAATTGTCCTGCAGGAGAGAAGCACTTCATATTCTGAGTTTACAATGGCCTCTTTAGCTATGGTGGAGGTTAGATGGCAAATTGTTCAAAAACACACCCTACTGAAAAAGGAAAAGATACAGCAAAAGGCAACTCCTGGGATTGAAATACTAAACCAACAGCTTCAAGTTTATTAATAGAGATATGGATTCTCAGGACACGGGAGAATAACTTGTAGAATATTCAGCTTCTAGGGTACAGAGGTTGTTAAGAAATGGTAAACTCTGTAGTATCTTCTAATGTACTACCCAATCACTACTTGGTGGATCCAGAAACAGTCATTTCAGGATTCCCTTTTCCATGGTTGAATTTTCCTGGGCCTCAGTAAAGCTTCAACTTTTTTATTCCTACCTCATCTTACTATGGCTGTGGAGTAGTTGAGAAAATTGATTTTGCTGTGAGCCCGGATTTTTGGCAGCTGCAGGTGACTAACTTACCCGTCGAGCACGTTAGGCTAACAGGCCTTCACGGTCTACCACCGGCCGGCCGGCCAACCTAGGATTACCCCTTAAGCACTCGAGTGGGAAAAATAAAGTGCTTCTTCGTACTGGTGTCGTACGGTAGCTGTGCTCAAGTGCTCGTGCACTGTACTACCGGTAGTACAGGTACAGTGCTTACAACAAGCATCCGGGGAGATGTTTTTTTCGCAACACAGGGATAGTTAGTTAGCTTAAGCAGAAAAGCGATCCCCGTCTTGCACAGTACGAAAACATCTCACCTGATATCATACGGTACTTGTAACTACACAGTGAAAGCTTTTTCTAGTTAGTCAGCACCCGCGAGGGGAACGGGAGGTTTAACATTCTTCAGAGGGCTGGCACTTGCTGTAAGAACTCCCAATTATTGTTTTTCAGGTGCCCACAATTCCCCTTCGGGAGCACAATCCCCTTGGCGTGAAATTTTCGACCTTCTGCTTTCCTTGTGGTCGAGCGGTCGAAATCTGACCTGTTGTCAAGCCTGCTAATGCGGTTGATGCCCTTCCCCATCATCCCACGTCTATCCCTGTTCATGCCCCCCCCCCGTCCACCATGCGGCCCCTGCTCTCACGCCTGCTAGGTCCGATTTGTCTATCGTATTTACTCGAGTACTCGAGTATCTGGTCTCGCTTAACAAATTATGCTTGGAGCTTTTAGCTTGTTAGACTTTCCAACCACTAAACCAATGGTGGGGGGATTTAAGCGGAGCACTCTGGACGTGAGAATATGCCTAGCCCCGAGCTGCCAAAGCTCCTCAGCAACTTCTATACCGGCAGATAAATAGTAGGCTGGGTGTTCAGAGAATAAAAAAGCACTTCAAAATAACAGCTTTCGGGCGAGCAATAGGGATGATTAAGTTTAGGTGTCTTGTGTGGTCTAAAAGTTACTTCCGGTAATTAACCGTTAAAATTGCCAAAATATCATATAGTATAAGCGAATAATGGTAAAGCCTCATTAACCGATTATTAACCGCAATGAGCTTCCGATCAAAATAAAAACGAAAATTTGTTGCTGTCCAAGGTTCCCCCCACCATCTCCAAGGTTCGCCATCCCTAGGACCTAGGAAATATTTTATCCCGAGTATGGCGACCTTGCTAGAGGGACTGCCACGGTACCACATTTATGAGTACGGGTATTCTGCTGAGCTGCCCACACTCTTTTCCATTGTCTACTTAGGTGTAAGGGTGTGCTTGTCTCTCCGGGGTGCTCGGGGTGGGTCATCCGTAGGTTAACGACCCCTCCATCACTTGACTGTCTTGAAGTTCCAAAGTATAGAAAGGCGCTGATCGCTTTTCCGGAAGGGTACAAACGCATGCTCCCCAAACCTTCAGGAAGTTCTCGAGCACTTTCTGTGTGCGCAAGGAGACAAGATATGATGTTCCGTTATTGGCAGGCCGTCGTGTGCCCATTTTTCATTGCCTGCCCCCGAAGGATCTCCTGAGCTTGGGATGGATTCTACGACCCACTGGATACAGCCTGGGGCACAGCAACGCAGAAACGCCCCACTAATGCCAAGCCCCATTTCTGAATACCAGGTGCTTTCTGTGGTTTCACGGGTGATGATAGTGGCTGTTGTCTTGGTTTAGGACCATTATCAATATTACCCCTTATCCTCGTACATACCCTTGATAAGACCAGAGTTCCTGGCCCATTTAGTAGTCAGAAATCGATAACGCCTACCGTACTGGGGAATGCAGCCAAATTTCCGCATTCGACTAATGCTCCAAGTAGTGTTTCGGGCCCTTTGTTCCGGTGAGTAGCAGTATTGAATTCAGCAGCGGAGGGCTATTTGGAGAACGTAAAATTCGGTGTACCCCTCTGATCGCAACAGAGCCCGTGATTGAATTTGTTGCACTGCAGTAGCAGCCTCGATACCTGTAGTGATTTCGATGATAAGCCCTTTGCTGGGAGCTTACAATTCGAACCGTGGCTGTACTCATTACAGAAAGCCCTCTTTGGTCATCATCCCACCACCGGCTCTGGGGTGTCAAAATGCAAGCGCTGATTTCTGATCAGATGCTAGAATTTAAGGCTGTGTGGACTGTCGACCTCTGCTTCACTATCGACGGCATACCGGTGGGTGTACAGTACAGTACAGTACCAACACGTTGACACAGCACGGGCCGTTCACGCTGGTAAGTGCAGTGCTGTCTATACCTGCAGCGAATCCGGGCCTTTCTCGCGGAATGAGGGAAATCTCAGAATCTCGAAAGGCGTAGCTAATGTCCTGCGCTACTGCAAGCTTCAAAGGGGGCAATCCGCAACAATGAAAGAGGGAAAAAGTAACTAAATGAATAAATGAATAAGTAAATGAATAAATAAACAAACAAATAAATAAATAAATAAAACTAAAAAATAGTAATGAAGGAGGTCGTGTTGATAGAGAGTAGCGATGGGAGGTATTGGTGGGAAAAAATGACGGACGTGGAGGGGTTGGTCAGTCGACGAAGGCAAGCCTACGAGTACCTTTCTGGTAGTCCAGTATCGACGACCTGAGCCATTGTTATCCCAACACCACCACCACAACCACAACCACCAAACTTGCAACCACCACCACAAGGACGACCCATTGTCACCCTCACCGTACCCAATCAAGATCACTTTTCATTACTCGCAAGCAAGCAATGGCGTGGTGGGGGGCCAGATGTCCGCGTGAGGCAGGTTCTCCAGTCTGACATCGCCCGAAATAGGGTTTCTAAAGTCGAGCGCACAGGTATTCGGGTTCGTCCTTCCTTTTTCCTCATGTTAATCCTCACCCTTTTCTTTATTTTGTCCCAGACCGAGCAGATAATGAACCATGTTCCGTGGGGTTCCATTCTGGAGTCTTATTAGCTTTACAGGTCACCGACTTGTATCTTCGATTGTTTCTATTGACGTTGGATCCAGTGAGGTTCTGCAATGAGGGTGTGCTTACTTGATTGCCCTATCTTGTTAGATGCCCAAACGCATGTCACCCACAAACCAGAGAAATCGGCATCTATCTGGACAACTTGAAATTCCTCCAGCCCATTACCCCTTTGTGTCTCCACGCAAATCAATATCCGTTGCCTTTCAAGACTTCGCCTACCCACCTACCCCTACTTCCGATACCTTGCTGCCGTCTGCTCGTTACTGTACGGCCGAAATTCGCAGACGCCATTCCCGGCGCATGGGGGTGGGAGCTTTGGCCATGTTCTCAAGCCACAGCCGCCCCAACCTCCCCACAATGCCAAAACAATAGGAGCTAGGCTCCTATGGAAGAAGGAGACTGTGTCCGGAGGCATGATTCCATGGATGAGAGGCAAACCCCCACACCCTGGATGCTTGCCCTTCTTTTAGCCCCGCTACCCGTCTTGTGAAGAATGCAAGGGTGGGGTATCGGGAACGGTGAAGGGAAAGAAGGGGGAGGGAGGGAGAGGGAAAACGGGAAAGAATCCTGGAAAGGCAAGTTACGGGGGAGGGATCGTGGAAGTAAGTATGGAGAGAAAAAGGTGAAAGATTTAATGAAATAGTTAGGAGGGTAAAAATTAGAACGCATTGTGGATCGATCATTCATCGTGCCCCTCCCGCCCCCCCGAAACAGAAATCTTGAAGTGCAGCAAGCAGACGTGTTCGTGACAATTCTGGAGTTTTCTAGTACGGATTGATGATCGGCTCAGGAGTTATACGCGGTACCGGTATGTACTTTGTAATGTAAGTGCTGCGGTTATGGAGCATTCACTCCTCCTGATCTCTCTCCCCCCACTCCTCCCCCCGCTGTCTTCACCCTTCGCCCCCCTTCCCCTCTTACCTCCTCCAAATGTATTTAAAGGTCCTATCTCCCGTTGCTGACCTGTTGGAATTCAATTCTATTCACATCTTCACCATCGAACATCCCCTTTCCCCTTACGCCCCCATATTCACCTGTGTACTACATCGTATTGTCTTGCCCTCGCATCCCCGGGCGCCGGTGTCACTCTACCTGACCTAGCTTTCATATCAAGCCTCTCAACAAAGTACTCTACCACCTATCGAGTATTCCGCCTTGTGTCGGTTGGAAGTGCAGTCTCTCGGATTGCATTTCTTCGCTCCGACCTTCCCACGTCATATCAACTTCCAGGCCCATTACCTACCATTGATTTGTTAAACGAACACTCATTCGGGGGCACTATTTCTCCTTAGCCCTCATCGTGATCTTCAGGGTTCTTCCTCACCACTCTTAAGGATGTACGTCACCTGTTTTTCTACTGACTCTCTCTATTGCATCATCCTGACCCCATAATACTGCCTCCTATAACTGTTGACTTTATCCCGAGTGGTACTACTTTCTGCCTCCCGAACCAAGACATACCAAGCCAAATCTCTACCTCAATGCCTCTTTCCGTGTACTCTCAACGCTCTCTAAACTGTAAAGACTTACCGTTTTCGGGCTGCAGAAACTACAAAAGTCCATATTAATGGCAACCGCCCGGCTGCTCTCGAGCTTTATATCTCCCCCAATCCCCTCCTCCCCATCGTCTTCGGTCAATCCGTTACCTCCATTTTTTGCCTTTACGCACAACTACCTTTGTGCTGCGGTGCTCTTATTGCCTCCACTGGCCTATCTAACCTACAAGGACTACCGCTCTTTCCTCTCGCTCGGCCCAGGGGGCACTCCTTACAACTTCTATGGTTATTGTATCATAACCTCGCTCCGATTGCTCGCTCTCCGAAACCCCCGTGTTCCAGGACCAGTGCCGGAAGGTCTAAAACACAATGGCTACCTCCCCAAGTCCGGGGTAGCTAAAAGAGATGCCGCTCGCCCAATCGTCACCGGAATCGCGCCCCATAGACAAATGAATCAAAGACCCAGGAGGGAGATATTTGACCTCCTTTCCAGCTCGCTACAGAATTTAGCGGACAATTATCCAAGAAGATTAAGGATCGCCATAAGCTGCTTCGAGAAGCATTGTCCGGGGCTGTTTTCTAGGAAGCAAGTTAACAAGACCTGTAATGGCGAAATTGTTCATGCCCACCTTAGCGACGGCTCAATGCATATGACGTTGCATCCGGCGGATGCCAAGATTGTTATCGAGGCTGGATGGGGAGGTACGTGTGACAATAAAAGCCCTTGCCCAGCACCGCAATTCTCGACAAAAGTTGCTTCAGTCATTTATTCCCCAAGGATGTGAAAAGGTGGAAAAAGGAAAGAAAGGGAAAAAGAAAAGTAATTCTTACTGACTGTATTGCTACGTACGAGTGTAGAGAGACATCCACTTTCCAGAGGCGGCTGGTGCAGACGGTTTGTACCGGTCGGGTTTGTGATGATCTATGCTCCACGCACCGAAGAGGAGGTTGGTCTCGTCCTTGAAATCGTCAAGGCGGGAATTGGCTGGGTTAGCGGTGAGCCGCTTGACGAATCAGAGGCTAGGCTCTATCCGAGGGAAATGGAGACCAAAGATGGCTTGAACCGCTGCGACTCCGGACACTGCCCTGCCAACGCGAACTCCACAATCAAGAACTGTGAATCCGATGTCGTCCAAAATGTCGCCAACGCAGTCATGGAAGTCGCTTGATCGGCCGGATTTCGCAAGCAATCTACATTTTTTCCCCTCTATGGATAGTGCAAGATGGAATCGGGTTTTGTGTTTTTCCCAGTGCTTTTTCATTCACAGTCTCGCAATACTCCTATGACCAATGTCCGGCGGATATACTGTAAGACGCGCAGGACACTTGCAGGCTACGTTTCTTCCATCACATTCACGGCTTTCACCTTGTTCGTTTTTCCGTTTCTTGAATCTCGTTATTCACTTTTGAAGGGCTGATCGGAGGCAGCGATTTCTTTGCAAGAGAAAAGTTTTATTCCTGTCTACTCCGCCAGGAGCTACTAGGATTTGGCCCTAGTGACAGCAGCACTGTGGTTTTGAAATTTCCTCGCTATTATACCACTAAATTTCTTGTTATTCCCTTTCACTGTTTACCTGTTACAAGCGTTTTACCATTTCTAGAAGGAGGCCTAAATTGAGAAATATTCAGTTTCCTACAGAAGGTTGGTGAGGTTCCGGCCAGATGTGTTATGCAGTTTCCTGGTGATTTAAAAATTCTGGCATCCCTGCGTTATCCACGGAACGGGCGAAGCACACAGTGAGGATAAATATTTTGACGGGTAAAGAGAAAGCGGCGCAGGGACAGACTATGCGGAATTGCTGTGCTCTCTAAGCACTATTACTGCCCAGGAGCGATACCCAATTGCACTGTGCAGTACTTGAGTACTACTGCTATGCACTGCACTGGACCGCGCTAACTCAGTACAGTACCATTCCCAAAAGTATTGGGATGCTGCCACATTGCATATCCCTCCAATGGGTTGGATAGCCGTCGTGGGATTATATCCGGTCACGGACTGGATCATGCCTGTCTCTTCAACTCGCGATGATCAAAGCCAGGTTTGTGGTTTCAGCCCTGGAATATCTGCGAGGGACACTGTTGGCAGTTTTTTCAGTAAGGCTTTCGGTTCAATTTGGTAAGAATGGTGTTTTGCTCGATGGTGATGCGGCTGCGATGGGTGACGGACCGTGTACCCCGAAGGACTTGGGTGTCATGGGACCCGATTCGCTTGCTAGAGCACTGGGTACATGGTGCACAGATTGTACGCCTACTCGCCCTAGGAACATTCTGGGGTGTGGGTAGCCTGCTGTATACCGGTTCTAGCAGGCGAAACATAGGGAGGTGGTGGGATGGAGTAGGTCTAAGTTATCGGCGATGGAGGAAGCTGTCGCAGTGTGCGGTAAGGTGAGATTCTAGGCGCACTGCAAGTACTATGATAGCTCAGCGCCCCTGGGCCACCTTATCCCTAACGTTAGTTTCGAGGGTTGTTTCTAGGAATGAAGTGGGGGATAGATAAATGGATTGAATTGTTCTGTTAGTTTAGGCGGAGTCACTCCTTTCAGTCATATATAGCAGCTATTATATTATGTACTGTACGCAGGAGGAAGCTACCGTGCGACGCTTGTTCCGGAATTTAAAATTTTCGACAAAGGGGAAGGCTCGCATCCTATGCCCGATATTCTCCTTTGCTATTGCAATCTAGCGTAGCGGTGGAGGGGGTGGTGCTGTACTGGTACCGGTACTGTACAGTACGGTACTCGAGTACGGACAACGCCCACTCCCGGAGCTCCGTACCCTCAACCATATCTGCGCTTAGTGCAGTTCATGTTAACAACACACTCCACATGAGAGGCCGCCGTGCTTTGCTCGCTCGCTTGCAACCATCTAACTGCCCACCCCCTCCGCACACGGAATTCTTACAATTTTTATCCGACTCGTTGTAGTGGATTTCCCCGTTTTTCCACATGTTCCAAGCGGTTCTGGGGGTTCGCATCGCATAGGCACCGGTGTGTGTGTGTGTCTTTTATGATATGTATTGACACATATGCAACATCTGGGCTTGAGCAGACCCACAATCACGGTATCTCACTCCCTCCCTACTCGCGATTACAGCCATGTCGTGTGCCCTTGCGCCTCCTTACCCCGCTCCTTTCTTTCCGGATGAGTAACCATGGAGGTATCACTCGAAGGCCGTGGCTTCCTCGTTGTGTCCACCACGCGAGGTGCTGCAGGTGCTGTTACCACCATCTGCTTTGTGAGGATCCGGTTCATTCACGTATTTGCATTACAGGTAATGGGGTCGAATGGGAGGAGATGGCGAAAGTTTGGCAGCCTACTTGTAGCGAGCTTTCGGGTTTAGGAATTTTTGAGGGGAAGGGGGTGCCAGTAGCTGCCCTATCGGATGCCTCCGGGGGAAAATCTCATTCCTTTTTCCTTTATCGGAGCGATCAGGGGTGGCTCAAGTTAATGACCTGTGCTGTACTCGAGCACTCGAGTATGCACGGCTACTATTGCATAAGTAGATATTATATTAGAACTCAACGGAGTCGTTTAAGTCATTTTGTGCTCCTAAGGGGGTCCGGGCGTGCTTGGGTGGCTGCCTCAATACGAACGGCTCGAACACTCAAGCCTAAAGCTCTTGCAGCCTCGGATGCATGCAGTGCCAATCTCTCCTCGAGAGTAAGGTTCAATGACGAGCGCTCGGATAATGTGGGTGCATGTGCTCGAGTATAAAGTACTCGAGCATCGTAGATTGTATGCACGTAAACACGCGCGTATACAAATCGCAGGTCACGTTTCGTCGCTCTCTTAATTCACCCTATGTTCTTAATCGCTACCCCATCCGGGGCTTCGAGCTTATTCGTGGTGGCAATGTGGTGAGGGAGGGGAAACGATGTCTCTCCCGTCCCTCCCCACCCACCCCCCCAAGAAAAACCGACTTCCGCACCAACGCAATGGTGTCCCTTACGCATCCCCTGCTCTGACCCAATGCTCTGGGACACACGATATCTGCCGGAACATCATTCTTATTTGTGTAGCCATCACGAAGATGGAACGAGATCTTGATTGGGATGCAGATTCGGTTTCATGGTGCTAAAGCTGATCAATGTCCTTTGCAATGCGGAATCAACTACAAGAGGGACCCCCATTTAGCACCAAGATCATATTATTGTTAGGGGCTGGAGGGGTAGCTGGCGAGCCTTTTTTTCTTCTCGTTAATGCATCGGGAAATCGGAATTCCCATATGCGAACAATCTTTTGACCGCTCGACATAAGTAGAGTTCTGGAGATTGTGCTATGTGAAAGCTTGTTACAAGGTAATCGCCCACCCGAGCAAAGCGGAGAGTTAGGGGAAGGGCCTGAGAATACGCTACGGAAGGCTGAGCTGGTTCTAGAGTAAGATGAGGTATTTCACTGAACATTACGGTCCGTCTTGCCTGGCGAGATTCCAGCACTGTGGATGCCCGCGCGGAAAATAGGTCGCGCGGACAGATCCCGGCCGATCAGACACTTCGAAGACCTGCCGATTCTTAAGACCCGAGAATATCGTGCATGGAAGAGATTGTATGGGTATTACGGGATGTCACCATTCTGCTTGCCGCTTCCTATTAGCCATAGGGGAAAGTAAGGTCAATCCGGAACCACAATTTTTCCAGATGTACGCCAGCTAGTCGATGCTGCCTTGGCAGTGGGTTCAAGATAAGAAATCTCACATTTCTCTCGCTCAGGGAATCACAGTATTAGTTCCAGGCTCCGATCGAGAACTCGTGGATTTCGATTCTTTCAATCGAAGATCCTACAGACTCCCAAGTATGTGTTTTTGGTTCGAATTCGGTGAAGCGATGAGGTTTGGATTCGCAATTAGGGCAACCCAGGAACCCGGTTATTCGTTGTACCATTGTGGTACATTGATAAACCTAGGATCTGACTGTTAAACCCCACATCCTGCTACAGACAGGATTAAGGTGGGAGCAAGGGAGGGAAGTGGGGAGCAAGAATCGGATAACATTTTTTGCTAGTTTCCAAACTTTCGCTTGCGAAGCAATCGAGCTTGTTCTCCTCCCTTTAGCCTTCCTGGTGACGATGCTTATTTCCCTACTGCTTCCATAGATCTATCAGACCCGCGCTATTGCACACACGCTTGCCTGCTTAACTTTTGGGGAGGGGGCTAGCTATTAACGCTAGCCCGCGCTCGACTAGCATTGCGAATAAGAGCAAAGCTGGTTGGCTGGATGCGACTTCTAATATATGTGGCAGTTGCTTCGGTAACTTCGTGAACGGAATACAAGTACTATACAGTGCGGCACGGTGAGGGGAGGCGCTCACTATCATAATGCACATGGCAATAAGATAACTCTACAAGTACCTAATACGATTACTGATGCCCCCAATTATCGAGGCGGTAGTCCGACCGAGTCCTTTAAGCCTGATTACTCCGTACAATCTATACCTTCATACCGAGAGGTTTGATGGAAGTCGGCTTATCCAAAAGATAATAATATCCAAAACAGACAACAACCCTCACTTAATACATTGGCAGTCGACAAGCGCAATTTTAGGCACCGAGATGTGCTCGAGTACAGTGCATCCGTGGGCGGTCTTAATGCCGGTAAATTCGGAAACGGTTAGATAAGGGTATGTGAAAAGAGTTCAATCGTCCCTTCGATCCCCAATCGCGAGATATCAAACAACACATGAATCTTGGACTTTTCGCCGCCCGCGCGATGTGGGGCGATCAAGCGTAGCCCAAACGCGGGGTATTACACAAACCCTACACCCTACCACGAGTCTGTCCCCGGCTGGGGTGTGAATAACCCAGGTTTTTTTTTAGGTTTTAATTTTAATTTTTCCAGAGATCACGGCTTTCGAAAAAAAGGCCTGCGTAGAAGAGGAGATACGAGTTCATTGGAGCACCCGTGCTTTCTAACATTGGCCAACAATTTCTCTCAACACTGGTACTCAGCAAACAGCTCAATCGGTGGTTATGTGGGGGTTCTCTAGATAGCTGGATACGCATACGGCAGTGGATAAAGATCTCAAAACCGGTTGTTAGTTAAGGGGGGGGGGGGGGGGGGCAACTCACGATGCACAGCAGTGCGGTACAGGCACACGGGGGGTCCCGTGCAGGTGCACTTCGCGTAGGGCCTTCCGCTGCCGCTCACGGAAGATCACTCGCCACTCTATCCTAACCGACTGCCGTTCAAAGAGTGGCAGGTGGTGGTTGATTAGCGCAGGTACAGTACACGGCTCTGCGCCCAATACAGCCGGAACGGAGCGAGTCCGATGCCACACGCACCGGAGCTTTAGCATGGACGCAGAGGATATACCCTACGAGGTACGGTGCTACATCGGTTCGCTAAGTTGAAAACCCGAGATTCCTATAAAGCTACCGATTCCAAGGTAGATAGATATTGCCTGAATTCATGTTTGATTTTAACTTTCAAGCAAGTCCATTTGATTAGCTTGCGTGCATTCACTTGTGGAATCCTTACATCTTACTTTCCTGCCTGGGATGACTTTTTTCTCCCACTTCCCCACGGTAGTTGGAGATGCTGGAATCTAGTATCAAAGCCATCCTATCTTCGCAGGTAGTCCTTGCCAACTCGTTTTCTAACACATGACGCCAAGGTCAAGTCTAACGGGTTCCCAAACCGGGGA